TATCATCTTTGTATGTTATCTAAACGGTAAAAAAATTATCTGTATTTGAAAACTGCTAAAATATATCAAACTAATCTAGTATTGCAAATATATTAACGTTAGGATTTTTCATTCTAATACTAAATCATGTATCCACACCCCCCCCCCTCCCCCCTAGCTTAATTTGACAATCATGCAATTCCAAACTTAGCTTGCTTCAAAATCGTGTAATGATCTTTGTTTGATGGTTCATTTGTATCACAAATTCTCTTAAATTCTTTATAAATTCATCTACATATTTTGACCTCATCTTGATACTCTAAATTTGTTGTTTCAATTAAATTTTCTTGTCATTATTGCAAGATCATAGGTAATCATAGCTTAACACCTTCTCAAATTTGTTTGGTCGAAGTGCAATAAATAATAAGGAACATTGACTCTTCTAAATTTTTACCAAAACGACTTTCTCTTCCCATTCTATAAATTAATTAAGGTTACTATTTTTTTTTATCATCTTCGTTTACCACAATCTTAAATGACAGTTTCTTTACAATAATGTCACGGATCTTCATAGTGTTCATCAACTGACTTATTTGGATCCTCCAAACAAGTTATTAGTTTAAGGATTTCGATTGTTTTGGGACGTATTATAAATTGATGGAGAGATCCTGGTGAAAGGGTAAAGTGAATGAAAATGAACTGACAATTAAAGAACACGAAAGATGATTCAAGATACAAAATAACTTAGCTTTGAACCAAAACTTTTATATATATTATACCATTAAAAAAAAATATAAAACAATATTAAATGTAAAAAATGCTTCTCTTTATGTTTCTCCTCTTAACTAATTCACGTTAATGGTTCTTATATATTTCTATAACTATCTAAAATATTTTGTTAATCCAACTAATTTGTTAAGCAAATATGTGCAAGATTTATCATGAAATTGTACGTTGAGGAAATAATGGAGAAATGTTGTACGAGGAAGGGTCCACATTTGAAAATGTTCCATAATTCATAAACTATTTTTGGGTTTTTGTGAATGTGATGACAAATTAATTTATAGTTGTGGGGTAACTTAATAGAGCGTAATTATTATAGTGTCCTATGTCATAATACTCGTGTCCTATCGAATTTTCTTTATATGTGAAACTATATTGTACATTGATATGCACACATGTAGTCAGACAAAAAATATATATACTAATGCATTTTGCTAAATTTGTACGTTGGGTCAAATAACGGTGGACTCAAAGTTTAATGTTTATTAGTGTCGTATGACAACTTTGAATTAATGTAATATAGTAGTAATACTTTACTGAATTCATAATCAAATATCGATAAGATTTCTTCCTATGTATATAGGTTAGATTAATTCCTCACCGACATTAAATCAAATGGAGAACAATTTTTGTGGGTAAGTGATTTTTTTGTTTTACTTTTCGATCTTTCACTACTTATTTATTACACCATATTTTATTTTATTTTTAATCAAAAGGAACCTTTAGGTTGGTGGCTTAAGCATGCCCCCTACCTTGTATATTAAATATATATATATATATATATATAGCAAAATACATGAGCAAGAGGAATATGATGTCTAACTTCTCTAAAAAAAAAAATGAACGTTATGAACGTGCCCATAATTAACTATGTAGCAATGAAATTGATAAAATACCAAGTTTGTTACATGATGGAGGCAACTCCATGCAACAAGGACAAAGTGATGGTGGTTGGGATGAATTTTCTCTAGATGATTTATGGAATCTACTTAATTAGCGGGTGATTTACACGAATGACCTGAGAGGTGAATGGTCTTGAACTTTTGATTTCGCTTGTCTTATCCTACTGATAAAACTTCAAGTTTTACAAGTCCTTATTTTTATTCTTGAAGATTTGCCTATGGAGTAAATTGAGGTAAAAAATTCGAGACCACTCATATAATTAGGTGCATGGTCTTTGTATTATCTACGTGTGTACTTTTGTGTTTTTAAGGTGATCAAGTTTATAGTGGAATGTGAAAGTATTCCAAGTGTGAAGTATGTAATATGATATATGAAATGAAGTGAGTATTATATTATATTATATTATATTATATTCTCTCTTATCATCTTTGTATGTTATCTAAACGGTAAAAAAATTATCTGTATTTGAAAACTGCTAAAATATATCAAACTAATCTAGTATTGCAAATATATTAACGTTAGGATTTTTCATTCTAATACTAAATCATGTATCCACACCCCCCCCCCTCCCCCCTAGCTTAATTTGACAATCATGCAATTCCAAACTTAGCTTGCTTCAAAATCGTGTAATGATCTTTGTTTGATGGTTCATTTGTATCACAAATTCTCTTAAATTCTTTATAAATTCATCTACATATTTTGACCTCATCTTGATACTCTAAATTTGTTGTTTCAATTAAATTTTCTTGTCATTATTGCAAGATCATAGGTAATCATAGCTTAACACCTTCTCAAATTTGTTTGGTCGAAGTGCAATAAATAATAAGGAACATTGACTCTTCTAAATTTTTACCAAAACGACTTTCTCTTCCCATTCTATAAATTAATTAAGGTTACTATTTTTTTTTATCATCTTCGTTTACCACAATCTTAAATGACAGTTTCTTTACAATAATGTCACGGATCTTCATAGTGTTCATCAACTGACTTATTTGGATCCTCCAAACAAGTTATTAGTTTAAGGATTTCGATTGTTTTGGGACGTATTATAAATTGATGGAGAGATCCTGGTGAAAGGGTAAAGTGAATGAAAATGAACTGACAATTAAAGAACACGAAAGATGATTCAAGATACAAAATAACTTAGCTTTGAACCAAAACTTTTATATATATTATACCATTAAAAAAAAATATAAAACAATATTAAATGTAAAAAATGCTTCTCTTTATGTTTCTCCTCTTAACTAATTCACGTTAATGGTTCTTATATATTTCTATAACTATCTAAAATATTTTGTTAATCCAACTAATTTGTTAAGCAAATATGTGCAAGATTTATCATGAAATTGTACGTTGAGGAAATAATGGAGAAATGTTGTACGAGGAAGGGTCCACATTTGAAAATGTTCCATAATTCATAAACTATTTTTGGGTTTTTGTGAATGTGATGACAAATTAATTTATAGTTGTGGGGTAACTTAATAGAGCGTAATTATTATAGTGTCCTATGTCATAATACTCGTGTCCTATCGAATTTTCTTTATATGTGAAACTATATTGTACATTGATATGCACACATGTAGTCAGACAAAAAATATATATACTAATGCATTTTGCTAAATTTGTACGTTGGGTCAAATAACGGTGGACTCAAAGTTTAATGTTTATTAGTGTCGTATGACAACTTTGAATTAATGTAATATAGTAGTAATACTTTACTGAATTCATAATCAAATATCGATAAGATTTCTTCCTATGTATATAGGTTAGATTAATTCCTCACCGACATTAAATCAAATGGAGAACAATTTTTGTGGGTAAGTGATTTTTTTGTTTTACTTTTCGATCTTTCACTACTTATTTATTACACCATATTTTATTTTATTTTTAATCAAAAGGAACCTTTAGGTTGGTGGCTTATGCCCCGTACCTTGTATATTATATATATATATATATATATATATAGATAACAAAATACATGATCAAGAGGAATATGCTGTCTAACCTCTAAAAAAAAAAGAACGTTATGAACGTGCCCATAATTAACTATGTAGCTTGATATCAATATCTTGCAATTGGCATGGAATTTGAATTTACAGGGGAAAGTCAGACATATACTAATAAAAGAGATTCCCTCTTGAATATTTTTTAGGCTACAGACTAAAAAATCAAAAGAATTTAAGTTAAAACACATTATCATTGTGCCACTATTTCAATTTCGTACCATAATACAATTTTAATTTTTATATATATTTTTTTAAAAATATATGGGAACAATAATACTGTAACAATAGGCGGTAGGGTATATAAACAAAACAGTTGTCCTTAAATATTCGAAAAAAATAAGTTTTATATATAACCCTATATATATAAATCGAAGGACAGATTCATTTATTTTTTCTTAAAAAACAAGAACAAGAATAAAGTTTTCATTTATTATTTGATTTGTGACTTGTGACCTAAGTGAAACTGAAAGGACTTCAATTGGAAGACACAGATCTACTCTATATGTTAGTTGTTGTCGTGGTCAGCAACAACTAATTGTTGTCAAAATCCGTTAAATTTTTCACTAAATTTTATTTAAACTCTTAAATTACAATTTATCTAATTAAATGTATAATAAAATTAAAAATACTCTTATCAAATACTTTCAACTCATTTATAATTTTAATAGTTTAGACATGGTTGCAAGTTTCACCATATTCAATAAGATGACTAAATAAGTAAAATGGTTGAATAAAATTTTCAGTTATATAATTAATCTTAGGAGAGATCATATCCTATTATTCCTAAGCTATTTGGAGGTAAAATAAATAAATCATCAATATCACTATTTTTAACTTTATTTTATTGATAAATTCCTACCTTGATTCTTCTCTCATAAGATATTTATCCATGATTCGAGGGTCGTTAGTGGCGTATTTTCTGAACTTGAATGATTTGGACTTGATTTCTATCATGTGAGGGTCGTTAATGGCGTATTTCTCAAACAATGATGATTTGGATTTGATTTTCATGATTCGAGGACAATAGTGACATATTTCTCAAATTAAGATGATTTGAATTTAATCTCTTTATAAATATCACAATTAGCTTTGCCTGAAGTTTGTATTTCATCGATTAATAAGATTCTCGAAATGATTTAACCCTGCATCATAAAGTAATCATATCTTTTCTCGTGAAATAAATAAGTTCTACTTCCTATGAACTAGATAAAGATAACATTGTAATCAGTCAGAATTAGAGTCAAGAAAAAAAATATTTATTTATTTGTTAAGTTAGCTTTCATGATCATTATTTCTTTAAATATAGTTTTTGATACATATTTAATAAATGATAAAACATGGAATTGGACACAAAACAGTAGTATTAAAATGAAAACTGAAAAGTATAAATGTGGGGAAAAAAGTAGTCAGAAAAGATGAGGGTATATTAGTCCCCTATCAGCCGTTACACCATAATTCTAACAAGAAGTTAAAGAAAGCTCGTGAATAAAATATAATAATTTTTTCTACAAGCTATAAGATTCAAACAAATAAGTATTTTTTCTATAAGTTCTAAAGATCAAATTGAAGATCCAAGATCAAGCTTTAGGAACTTGAATTCAAGTATAAGATCACTAAATCTAAGTTCATATCCAGATTGAGTTCAATAAATTTAAGATCAAATTTAAATGCCCTTAAATATATTTTAGAAAGGAAGAATCAGATTTTTTGTCATACTGAAATTAAAATACAAACAATATTTTTATCTTAATTATTTTATCAACATGAATTTCAGTGACTTGCACAATTATTTGATAGTGTTAAACATTGAGACTCAAAACTTCCCCCATCAGGTAAACATTTATTAATCAGAAGTTATCTACGAATTAGCAGTGATGCTAAAAAACTAGTTTATTCGAATATGCTATTTGCTATAGTTTATTCAAAGTTTAGATATATTAAATTGTACATAAATTTTATCAAATAAGTATACTATATATTATCACACTTTTTACTATATAATTAATTTATATAATTGCAGGTTACATATCTTGCTAAAAAGATAATTATTAAATTTCCTTCATCATATAATTAGATAATTATTAAAGAAAAAAATATTTATGAGAAAACAAGCTTTATAGGAAAAATAACAAATACAAAAGGGACACTAGTAATTCGATATTTTTTTTAAAAAAATAGTCTCAAAGTTGATGTTTACACTCTTTTTATGCATGAAGTCACACATTTATTCCAATTCAATAATTAAGTTGTTACATAAGCTTAGTTAACGATCATAGAGATTTAAAATGATGAGTTTCATTGAATGTAAGGATTCAGTTGCAAAGAGTTAAGTAGAAGGAATCAGAACACAAATTTAAACAAGTACATGCGTCCATTAGACAATTTTGCCGGCAAATAACTAAAAAAATATTTCATTATCTTAACTTTCCCCTAGTACCAATTTGATATGATTTCTTGATTATATAAAAATTTACTTGTCTAAATAAAGATAAATTTAGAAAAAAAATGGTCTTCCAAAAATGAATTAGATTGGAACACAAGGACATTATGACGTGATCATTGCTAGTCACTTCTAATTTTCACATAATTGGTAGTTGAATTAGCACATCTTCAATTAAACAAAAACATTAATGGAAAACATAAGAGTGGCCCTCAAAATGTACCGTATGATATATTGAAGACTTTAGTATCAAAAAATTCCAAAATATGATGACACACTTAATTGCTTAAATTCTTTGAAACTGATGATTCATGGGGTCCCTAATTATGATTTATTTGTATCAACATATGATATATAATTACATGTCTATCGATTCAAGTAGAACAAAAAGTGTACAACCTTGCAATTATAAGTTGTGCTTAGGAAATAGAAGATGGTGATAGAGTCCGTAAATTATTTGTCGTATTTCTTTTTTATATGTATTTGCAATAATGTTAATTAGAAGGGATTTTTGATTATTTTATTCTTATTTATGTCTTAAGATATAATATTTTTTAATTAAATATTCACTCTATTAATGTGTTTATGGTTTTCAAGAAGAATTACTACTAAGACTAAAATGAAAAATAATAATTAATTTTGGCTTAAACTTCTAAAATAATAAATAATATAATGAGACTATTTTAAAAATCACGATAAATAATTTGAGATAGGAAATAAGTATCAACAACTGAAATAGATTTATTAGCAACAGCTAAGAATATAATGTATGTTCAATTTACATGCTTGCATTTAGGGTTGTGCATTCGGTTTTTCGGTTTGATTTTGTACTATTCGGTTTATTTTTTAATTTTGATTTTGAAGAAGTGTAACCCAATCCGAACCAAAATAAATTTGGCTTGGTTAGGTTTTTCTCTTTTCGATTTTTTTTTCCGATTCGGTGTGTAAATAATT